CTAGGAGTTAAGTAGCCTTTTGCTTATGAGACGCTGTTTGAGTTTGGGCAGCTGCCTATAGGTCAGGACAGGTTTGTACACGTGACTGCTTTCAGATGGTCAAGGTCCAAATCTACCTTGTCTTCTAATTGACTTCAGGCTAACATGGCTACTGATATATCTAAGCCCAATGTAGCCAGGCAGGGACGAATTTATTTCCAGGTAGGTAAATTCTTCCCTGTCTGGATACATTGGGCTTGGAGATGTCAGTTGTCACGTTAGTCTGAAGTCAATTAGAACTGCTATTAGTACCTCTATGCTGGACCTCCTCCCCACCGTTCACCTGCCCTGCTGTGGGGGCATTTGTGTTGGAAGCAGGGGGCGGGGGGGGCAGAAGGTTTTGCTAGGAGGTATTTGAACCATAGAGATTTGGGACTGGTGGCCCAAGTTGCAGGAGGAAGGAGGGCAAGGGTGGTTCCTTGTTACCTTTGTGTCTTCTCCAGCTGGGCTCATTGCTCTCCCTGCCCGGAGGTGCTGTATAGAAGGTCTCCCCATCTCTTTAACCAGCTTCCATAATGAATATAAACATGGAATCTGCCACTTCTTAGCATAGTCTGACTGTTTTCTGCTTGGAGTCACAGTAACAGGAATGTAATAGGGTAATGTATATGCTTTGGCATTTTAACTGTAGGAGGATGGTAATTTTAATCCTGAATAGCTCAGAAACATTGTGGTCACCCAAAACGTATTTATGGTTATCAAAGCCATTAATTTATCATCCCCTGTCTCAAGAAGATAACACTTTACCTTTTCTGCAGCTTATCAAGGTTCTTTTCTTTCATTAAAATGCTGACGCGGTTCAGAATATGATTAATTTCCTGAAGTACACAGTGGGTTACTATCCTCACACGCTCCAGTTAGTGCCACAGGCCAGAAACTCTGCGGGTCAGATTCTGATCTTGGTTACGCTGGTGTTGGTCCAGGGCGGCTCTAGGGCAGTAGGGGTAGGGTGCTTTACCTGAAATAAGAGTCTAGCTGGAATAATTAACACATCGTCTAACACATTAGCACACATTATCTGCTTCATTTGCAAGTCTTACAAGCATCAATAGCAATGCCAAGCTAGATAGACACCTGTCAGTTAAGAATTTATCCAAGCAACAATGTTTGAGTCTGAATCTGAATTGATTGTAATGATGCGGAGCATTCGTTTCAGAGCTGAGTGTAGTGGTCTTGTGTAAACCTGTCCATGTGTGAGCATCATAAATGTTTAGTTGTTAATTAGGGCCCTTCTACATGTGCAGATGAAGGCGTGATGGGATCTAAGGAGAGATGCACACAATCATGCCTCCTGCAACTGTGGGATTGTGCATTAGGTCCCATTGTGCCTTATTGCTGGTGCTGGGGGAGCCTGATTCCAGGTTTCCCCGCACCAGCAAGAAGTAAGCTTCTGCAGCTGGGAGCCCCCTTAACTGCATGTGCCCCTTTACCTACACAATCTCCCAGCTGCAGGGCACCCCACACACTCCCAGGGCTGGGAGATCACAGCAGCATCTCACGGTGCCAGGATCCAGAGTCCCGCAGTGGTGGACCCTGGGGCCTGCCAGAGTACTGTGGGGCTCTACTGGAACCCAGCACCTGCAGCTGCTGGGACCCAAAGTCTGCAGCTACTGGGCGCTGCCATGTATGTCCCCTCAGCTGCATGACTTCCAGCCTGGGCTGTGCATGGTGCATCCCTGTGGCTGGGAGCCTCCTCAGCTACTGGGGCTCCCAGCCATAGGGGCAGAGTCTGCTCTGCCTGTAAATTAAAGCTAGATAGCAACCAGCTGTAAAGTTAGTTTTTGAGGTCTAACTTCATAGCTGGTTGCTGCATTTTATGGCATGATAGACGTTTTGCACATGTAGCTGGTCTCAGTTAATTGTGCAGTTAACCTCTGAATTGCATAGTAACTGCAATGCGTAGAGCGGACCTTAGATTCAGGATCTGAACTACTGCCTAAGGATCGCAAGTGCTTAAAGCATCTCTGTTCCCCTCTGCTACATGGTACTACATGGTACTGAACTGCAGACCGAGGGGAAGACAAGGGATGCTCTCTGCCCCACCTGCTCAGTCACCTTTCTACCCTCTGGATTAGCAAGCTTCAAAGCATTCTTCCATCACTACCTTCGATTGCAACGGCCAGCTCTTACTGCTACAGGCTGCTGGAGCAGAAAGGCCCCCTTGGCCTATTATATTAGAACAGCTGGGAACAAATGCAGAGCAAAAGGCTCAGAGTGGAGAAATGAGGGAAGAGCTATTCTCCTGGTTGTTCTCCTCTCCTGGCAGTAATGCAAAAACAGACTGCAGTGATTTTTCTCTGTGGCAGATTCCTCCAGGGTTTTTTTGCTCTGCAATAAGGCACAATGGGATCTAATGCACAATCCCACAATTGCAGGAGGCATGATTGTGTGCATCTCTCATTAGATCCCATCATGCCTTTACCTGCACATGTAGAAGGCTGTGAGCAGATCCAAGCTCAAGACAGGATGGCCTAGACAAGGGTCACACTGCTCTGGCTGTGAGGAATATTCTGCAGGACCTGGGGTGAAAGTTGGGTTGTGACAAGTACAAAGCTGTAGAAGAGAAGTAATCAGATTTAGTAGGTTTTACCACTGAGTTGAAGAGCCGTGAAATTCACACTGGATGTGTCTACATGTGCCATTAAGGCAATCTGATAAGCTCTGGCCCAGACTGCTCCTGGACGCAGAGCAGCCCTAGGCTAGCAGGGCGCCTAGGGGGTCAGCCCTGGGCTCCGGGTAGAGACATGGAGCAGTGGAGGGGCTGACTGAGGCATGATGGTGCTAAAGTGTGGGGCCTGGTGGCTGGCAGCCCCACTTTAGCACGTTCATGCCCCAGCCAGCCCCCGTCACCATCTAGATGTGCATTTCAGCACATGTAATTAGTCTACCGTAGGACTGTACTGTCCCCAACAGAACTATCCTATAGTGGAGTTAATGAACTTACTGTGCTCTAATACTGGTGCATGTGCAGACAGCGATGCTTTACTGCAGAGCTAATTAGTCAACTTGGCAGTAAAGCGCATGTGTAGATGCACCCACTGATGATCTTCTGCCAGATGTGAAAAATTAGAATGTAACAGTCTCTTGAGTCCTTGTATCTACATTTAAGGCAATTATTTTTCAGTTTTCTGAAGGAAATTATTTCATTCCAATAATTTGCTTGAAGTGAATTGCAGGTCCTTTTGGTTATACGCAGTTATTATAGTGAACTGCCCTTTTATGTTAACCTTGTGGACATATAATATTTTCTGCTTAGGAAAGACAAGATCAACTGTTTTAACTGGCTCCTCTCCATCTCTTTCCCCTCATGAGTTTCAAAGTGCAGAAAATAGGAATTTACAATACAAACACTGAAACACCCTTAATTAAGCTGCAGAGGATGCTGCTGTAATGACGACAGATTTGTTAGCTTGCAAAGTGTCAACAGGAAGAAGAGTCTGTAAAAGTGCTCAGGTCAGCTGCTGATGCAGAGAGCATGCTATACTTTTGTATTTCACAGGACAGCAGAACAAAATGTAATACTGCAGTCTTTACCTCCACTGGGCAGACAGGGTCAGAAAATTCCTAGGTAATGATTGCCTGGTTGATTCTGCCTCTTCCAATACCCTTAAGCACCCAGACCTATGATTTAGCTGTTAAAATGACTGAAGGAGAGACTTGAATTCCTTCCTTCCTCTCTTTCCCCAAACCAAAGCTAAACCAAATAATAGCTGACTGAGCCCACCAAGCAATTAACCCATATTGGATTAGTAAACTGGGTAAGTTTGCACGAAGGTATTATGCCAGAAGGAGTCTTACATTGATCAAAATGTCTTGAATTCAGCTGGAGCATCTGTTGATGAAGGGGGAAAGATGCTGCCGGAAATACTGGTTTGGCATCGCCAACCATTGCCTAAACCTATGATTACTTAAAAAAAACCCAAAACCCTGCTTCTTTCTTTTGGTGCAGCTCCACATACAACTGATCATTAGGACTGTGCCAAATGGCTAATATTTGCTTTGGATTCAGATTCGGTCAATTTGGGGACAGTGATTTGATTCGGTGATTCCAATCACTGCCCCGAATTGATTCAGTCAAATCTAATTTGGACATATGGCTGCTGCTGAATCAGCCAAATCTCTGAATCACACAGGCCATATCACCCACCTGCTCTCCCAGTCCAGCCTGGCCCCAGCTCCTGGCTCTTTGAAAAAAAAGCCCCCACTCACTGGTTGCTGCCAGGCGGGGGGGGGGGGGGGCGGTGATTCCCGCTCCCCCCCAGGGCCCCACCCCCCTTCCCACTCTCCCAGCCCCCCCCATGGCTGCTTTGCCTGCCCCAGCTCCCGGCCCTTAAAAAAAAAAAGCTCCGACTCACCAGCTCCTGCCGGGTGGGGAGGGGGGGTTTTCCGCTGCCCCCCCACTGCCCCGTGCTGCGTGGGGAGCTCTGCCACGAGCTCCCAGAAGCCCCAAGGCCACTGCACCAGCCAGTGAGTGCAGGCTCTGCTTTTTCTTCTTTTTTTTTAAAGGGTCGGGAGCTGGGGTGGGAGGGATATCCATGGGAAGGGCTGGGAGAGCAGGTGGCCCCCATGGTCCCTTCCCCCCTCCTCAAGCCTCCCCTCCCTCATCCCCTACTTACCAGCATGGAGTCTGGGTCCAGCTCTCTGCTGCAGCGGGCAGGGACTGCCTGAATCACTGAAGCTCTCCAAATCTTTTCTGAATCAACTTGGAGAGCTTCAAATTGATTCAGACCTTTTAACTGTCCCCTGATTCAATTCAGATTTGGAGATTCAGCCACCGAATTGGGCCAAATCTCCTTCAAATTGAATCAGCACCCGAAGCTTTGCACAGCCCTACTGAGCATACAAGAATGGTAACTGAAAGGGTTTAGTTAAGGGATGGTCAATTCTTTCATTTACAGAGAGTTTCATGGAGCAAACTTGAAGTCTCATACAAACAGTAATTAAATAGGAGTCACAACATCCTGCAAGGTATGTGAGTATTTATTTCCTCATTTATAAGTAGAATAATTCATCTTTATAAAGCTTACAAATTTTATAGCATGTTTCATCTAGGATGTTTATGCTCGGACATTTAAAACAGGTATTTTTTCTTAGCTGCAGTAAACCAGGTATACAAAAGTTAGGTGACTTGTCAATGGGCACAAAATGAGTCAGCAAAGAGTAGACCTCACAACACGTGTCTTCTAAACTAATGCTGTAGTTCCTAAGAATACATTCTTTCTATTTATTGCTACTACTTTACTCTGTACTTCCGGTTTGCTGTTAACTTCCACTTGTGTCACTCATTTTAGATCCAAACAGACCAAGGTGCCATAAAAATCTTTGCCATCTCACTACCTGATACAGAAAATTAACAAGATCAGAAATATATTACATATTTATTTTGAAAGGTGGTTCCTCAAGAAGACCAGCTTTTTTTTTTTTTATGATTGTATAAGTCAAAACCACAAGCCTAAACCATCTGGAAATCAATAGTCAGTCAGTGCTTATCCTGGACACCTTCAGTCACATGCCTTTGGTGAAATGCATAGTTCAATAAACAAGCTGCCCAATTCTATTCCATCATCCATTTACCAGATGATAAGAGGCATAACCTCTTTAAAGACCACATTGCTATAATTCAATCTTGAGGTGGCAAAGACATAGGCCACAGTTGTAAGATCTTCATTCAAAAGAAATAGTCACAATTTTCTGAACAGATATAAATAAGAAAAAGATCTTCTAGACACTGGTGCTATATGAACATTGATCATCTGAAGATTCAGTGGTAATTGTAACATATTTTTATTGTTACTACCATTTTCAAACCCTTGAGAGGTAAACATGCTCTGGTGACTGAGCCATACATAGTGGGTAGTGGATGTGCATCCTGTAGGGACCAGACACTTATCATAGATTCATAGAAACGAGGGTTGGAAGGGACCTTAGCAGGTCACATCTAGTTCAAAGCAGGACCAACCCTAACTAGATCATCCCAGCCGAAGCTTTGTCTAGCCAGGTTTTGAAAACCTCCAAGGATGGAGCTTCCACCATCTCTCTGGTGGTGGAATCCAAGTTCAATGGCTTGTGAAATCCAAGTTCAATGGCTTACTCCACTTTAGACTTCAGAATGACCTCAGGCAAGTTCCTTCAACTCTTTGTATGTCCCTGCCCCCCACGAGGTGCTGTGAAGGTAAATTGTGAGGCACTCAGTTCAGATGGTAATGGGATCGTAGACAGTATGAGGTTGTTGTAACAAACCCTCCTCAGGTAAACCCCACTTTAAAAAATCCTAACAGCATAAATCATTTGTCTTCCATGTTATGTCCTCCATTTTTATAAAAAGTCTTCTTTTTTAATGAACTTTTCTCCTGATCCCATGAGGTCTGTTCTAGGTACTAATGAAATGAGGTTATACCTTATAAATGGTAGGGGCAGAGGGAATCCTTGCCATTTCTTCTGGCTGTTTTCCCCCATACACCAGCATCACCTCTGTCTAATCATGTATCAAGCTTCAGGCAACTACTTTACATTTTCACATCTGCCTTGCCCAGAGCGCAGATCAGGCATTCATCAGCACTGCCTGGATGCGATGAGACACTTTTTTAGTTGCTTTTTCAGATTTCTAAAATGCATTGTTAGGTGCTGATATAATGCTCTGAGCCATCATCTCAGGAAGTAAACATAGCACAAAATCATAAATCAAAAGGAATTGTCTATGGATACAAAGGTATGGGTGTCAGAGGTATATTGAAAACATTGCAACCTATGCCTCCTTTTCACCAACATCCAACGGCCTTGTATACAGAGTATAAGGCTCTTCTGGGATGATATGTGACTTTCCAACAATAATATCTAGGAGTGCCTAGAAACAAGGAGGCCATCCAGCTCTGGCTACCTATATTCAGCTGGAGTGTTTTGTAGCATCTCTAGAGCAGAGCGGTATCAGCAGGAGCACCCGATCTTTCCTAAATTAAAAAAATACAGTTGAATTAGACTTGGATTAGTACCTAGATGGTTATTAATTTAAAGCAACCTTATAAAACTCTTATGGATGACAGAAAATTGAAAAACGAATTAAAAAAACCCATAAGTATTGGAAAAGTGAGGATATTGTAATAATAGGGTTAAAGAGAGGTGATACTCCCCCTCTACGCGACACTGGTCAGGCCACAGTTGGAGTACTGTGTCCAGTACTGGGTGCCACACTTTAAAAAGGATGTGGCCAGCCTAGAGAGAGTTCAGAGGAGGGCCACCTGCTTGGTGAGAGGGCAGCAGGACAGGCCCTACGAGGAGAGACTAATGGACCTGAACCTGTACAGCCTCAGCAAGAGGAGGCTGAGGGGGAACCTGGTGGCTGCCTACAAACTCATCAGGGGAGATCATCAGCAAATAGGAAGATCCCTATTCTCCCCAGCACCACCTGGGGTGACGAGGAACAACGGTAATAAGCTAATGGAGAATAGGTTTAGGTTAGAGATCAGAAGGCAATATTTTACAGTTAGGGTGGCCAAAATCTGGAACCAGTTTCCCAGGGAAGTGGTCCTCACCCCTACCTTGGACAAATTCAAGAGGAGGTTGGACAATCACCTGTCTGGGGTCTTGTGAACCCAGCATTCATTCCTGCCTGTGGCAGGGGGTCAGGCTAGATAATCTGTTCAGGTCCCTCCTGACAGTTAGGGTGGTCAAAATCTGGAACCAACTTCCCAGGGAAGTGGTCCTCACCCCTACCTTGGGCAAATTCAAGAGGAGGTTGGACAATCACCTGTCGGGGGTCTTGTGAACCCAGCATTCATTCCTGCCTGTGGCAGGGGGTCAGGCTAGATAATCTGTTCAGGTCCCTCCTGACCCTAGCTACTATGAAACTATGAAAAAAGGAAATCTCAGGAAATCAAGGAATATTTTAAAAAGGTTCCACCACAAATGCCCAAACTTTCTGAATACTTGTCTAAACACAAAATATACCACCTTAACTATACCAAGTGGTAAAAACTCCCAGTAGCATGAGATGAATAAGGTATAATTATGTAGGGCATCAATGCTATGGCCTGTACTGGTATAAGTGCATTGGTTAAAAAAAACACAAGCATTACTGTCAAAATTATGCTGGAATAAGATTGTGTGGGCGAGACCTAAGTAGAAGCAAAATTTCACATTTAGGAAAGTATCCAGGAAAAGCACCTGCTTAGTGCTTCTTCCTACTAACGCCAATGTAGCTGAAGAATATTTTTCTGGGCTTTCTTACATCAAAGGCTCATTCCAAGTGAAATTTGAAAATGCTAGGTTATAGTTAAACCAAAAAAAAGTTGCTTTAAATTAAAAATATCTGTGCCTCTGTCCTTTTTAAACATGTATATTGTGGCACAGCATATTTTGAAAGCTTGAATGTTTAAGACATTCTCTAATCACTTGTGAATGAGCCTAGTTTAACTCAAAGAACTACATGATCCACGCCTGGACACAGGAGGAGGGATGCCTGGACACAGGAGGAGGGGTGGATGTCGTATACTTAGACTTCAGGAAGGCCTTCGATACGGTATCCCACCCCATACTGGTGAACAAGTTAAGAGGCTGTGACTTGGATGACTACACAGTCCAGTGGGTGGCCAATTGGCTGGAGGGTCGCACCCAGAGAGTCGTGGTGGATGGGTCGGTTTCGAACTGGAAGGGTGTGGGAAGTGGGGTCCCACAGGGTTCGGTCCTTGGACCGATACTCTTTAATGTCTTCATCAGTGACTGGGACGAGGGAGTGAAATGTACTCTGTCCAAGTGTGCAGATGACACAAAGCTATGGGGAGAAGTGGACACACCGGAGGGCAGGGAATAGCTGCAAGCAGACCTGGACAGGTTGGACAAGTGGGCACAAAACAACAGAATGCAGTTCAACAAGGAGAAATGCAAAGTACTGCACCTAGGGAGGAAAAATGTCCAGCACACCTACAGCCTAGGGAATGACCTGCTGGGTGGCACGGAAGTGGAAAGGGATCTTGGAGTCCTAGTGGACTCCAAGATGAACATGAGTCGGCAGTGTGACGAAGCCATCAAAAAAGCCAATGGCACTTTATTGTGCATCAACAGATGCATGACAAATAGGTCCAAGGAGGTGATACTTCCCCTCTATCGGGCGCTGGTCAGACCGCAGTTGGAGTACTGCATGCAATTCTGGGCGCCGCACTTCAAGAGGGATGCGGATAACCCATTTAGCACACTGGGGTCCCAATTCTGATGCTCTTTGCACTAAACTACTACAAACTAGGAATACTAATTGCTAGGAATAACGGCCACAAATTGTTAGAGAGCAGGTTCAGGCTGGACATCAGGAGACATTACTTTGTGGTTAGGGCTGCTAGGCTCTGGAATGGGCTCCCAAGGGAGGTGGTACTCTCTCTTCCCTGGGGGTCTTCAAGAGGAGGTTAGATGAGTATCTAGCTGGAGTCATCTAGACCCAGCACTCTTTCTTGCTTGTGCAGGGGGTCGGACTCGATGATCTACTGAGGTCCCTTCCGACCCTAACATCTATGAATCGATGATCCATATAAAAAGCCAATTTTTTTCTAAGTATAGGTATGAACTCCTCCACAGAAAACACCCACCTTTCTAGGACAAAAAAGAGTCAATGCATAAGGTATAAATCCATGCCATAAAACAGTAGCGTTCAACCACTGCCCTGCAGGCCAAATCTAGTCTTCAGGGCCACAGCATCTGACATACGGGACTCCCCATGTGGCCAGAAATTTAGTAGTAGGGAAGTGGTGGCAGCATTAATTGCCATGGCTTCCAGAACTGAAGCACTTAATGCTGTGACTGCTTCCCTGCCACCAAATTTCCAGATGTGTAAAGGAGCCCTGTGGACTGGATGACATGGCCCCACACACCAACCAAAAGCTGGACTGACTCCTGTGGCAGAGCACAGGTTGTGCCTGTCACTTTAAGAGGTTTGAGCAGGCTGTGGAACAGCTGGCAGGTGCGAGGCCTAATTAGGTGGTCACATGACCACAAGAGGGCACCCTGCATATAAGACAGGGTAAATTATATAAATTAATAACCAGAGCTGGCAATTATTGGGGCATCAGGCCCAGGAGCCCCAGTCAAGGGGCAGAGTAGAAGCCCCAGTGAGGGGGCGAGGTATTGGGCCCACTGAGGGGGCAGGGTGAAAGTGGTAGGCTGCATAGAGTAGGGTCCATGGGGGGGCCTGAACGACTGTGCATAGGCCAGCTGGAGTAGAGACTTAGTAAGGGGTAGAGACCAAGTGAATCCAGTGTGGGTGGAACAGTGGACCTAGGAGGGGTCCAGAGTGACTATGTGGCCAACAACCCCAGAGAGTGCGGACAGTGTTTGGAGGGGCCTGAGAAGGTGGACCCATATGGGGAAGAGGGCTAGCTGCTCTAAACCTAGCCAGAAAAACCTTGGCTGGCCCATGTTGGGACCAGAACAGCCAAAGGGCGAGGACACCCACTGCGAGTGATGGCCAGAGCCAAGGGCCTGGAGTTCCAACTGGCCTAGAGGTGAGGCCAGGGCCTGTAAGGCCAAAGGTCCCAGAGTGAGCCACTGATGAGAGGGAAAAAGTCCCAGGGTGGGCCACTGCCAAGAGGGAAAGAGGTCTAGGGAGTTTTGCAGCCCAGAATAAAGGCAGAGATTGGGTTGCGTGAGCAGGAGGGATCCAGGTTGGGTCTGAACATTAGGCAAGCATATAGTTAGGCCCAGTATGGAGCTGAAGTCATATAATGATGCCATCTGCAAGGCCTGGGACACAGTGTAGGGATGGGATGGAACCATGTATTATGCCATTGGTATTGGGCATTAAATGGGCAGCCCCCCACCTAGAAACAACTTACGAGTTACATCAAAGGCATGGCAGGAAAGGCAGATGGGCAGACTGCCCTAGACAGGTGGGTGGGCCAATGACTGGACTGACCTTGAGACGGCCCCGTCACATCCCACATCACCCATCTAGTCCATGGGGCCAGAATGTTGAGCACCACTGGCATAAAACAACTCTGCTTTTTACTAAGAAAGGTTTCCAGTTTGTAAGACAATTATGTGGAAGAATTAAGGTTTATCCAATTAAGTCTGACCCTTAGGGCACCTTGTAATCTCTGAGCTTGATTACTATTTTGATTATTAGTCATTTTATCAAACTTTTTAGATACAGATGACAGTGCTAAGCTGTTTCCTCTTTCTATGGCTGTGGGCAAACAAACCAAAGACATGGCTTTTTCAATGCACAGGTTATGCTAGGACTGGATGTGAGGAAAATAAATAAATTGCTTCTAACTGGCAGCCATCCATTCTTGCCTGCAGAGTAAATATATCCAGATACATGTATAGAGATATGATACGTATCTCTCTTTTCATACATACGTTCCCTGAGAATAGAGCAATTAAGGCATTTCATGTTCTGCCTGTTACAGCCCAAAAAAAAGATGATCAGAGTAGAAGTGGGGTTTTTTTTTTCTTCTCTCTTGTGAGGAAAAAAATAAAAAAATCAGTGAGTTATGAGGAGTCAAGTTCTCAGGTAATTCATACAGCTTGTCTTTTTGTTTCGGCTGACTTCTGCAGTGATTGGATGGAGCTGCTAAATTAGTGGCTCAAGTGTTTCCAGAGATTGAGACTTGGTGAGAGAGAATCTCTAAGATGTGGTATAAAAGATCTCTCTAAAAATAGCAAAGGAAGCTAAAAGCAAAGTTGGACTGCCTAAGTCTTGTCAGGATGTGAACAAGGAAAAAATCAGAGGTTTTCCCTCCCTAGCACTGCTGTTCCCTTTGAACAGATAAAATGTTTTGAGATAACCAGCCTCCTCGCTGTAGAGCATATTGCTACACCCTGAGCCTGCCTGCCTGTAGGATTTCATTTCATGTTACCCCTTTCTGCTGTTATTCTGGCTCGCTCAGATCAGAATGAAATAGCCATGTTAGTCTGAAGTCAGGCAGAAGGCAGGGTAAATGTATACCTTACAGACTAACTAAATCTACATGAAATGTTTACTGCAGAGCTGACTAATTAGCTCCGCAGTAAAGTCTCAGCATCTACATGTGTGGCCCTGTTAGACTGCAGTAAACTAATAAAATCCACTACTTGTAAACACAAGTACTATCCTGTAGTGGAGTTATTAGCTGCACCACAACACACATGCAGACACTGATGGGACTGCCTGCAGGCTAGCCCCGCACTGGAGCACCTTCGTGCCACACCGAGCCCCTTCGCAGCGCATTGAGCCAGGTTGGAGCACCCTGGGGTTGGCAGGCTGACCCCCCTGGGCCCTGTGCCAGCTGGAGCTGCTTTGACCTAGTTCAACGTGCTGCAGCCATGGGTGCACATTCAAATACAATGCCTGGGAGCAATAAACTTACTGCTTCAAATGAATTGCACACGCAGATGCACCCTCAGAAATGCATAGTGTAAACTTGCTTCATCAGATGCTGCCCATCAGCCACTCTCCCTATGGAGTGTCATGTAATACTCCTAAATGAAGACAAGGGGATGATACCTGCATTGTTTCACATACCTTGCTTAAGAGGCAAGGATTTCTTAGGCTGATATCTTGGACTGAACCAACTAAATAGTTGGGATAGAAACAGACAAGCTTTAGAAAGCAAGCCATTCTTCATCAGGTCTGAGCAGTGAGAGCCAGCACAGCTTAGTAAGAAAACAGTAAGGGGGTAGGGGGGGTAAGAAATTCCCAGGGATAACTGGCAAACAATTTGCAGAAGAAAAGAAGCTGATTACTGGGATATCAAGACCTATCAAAAGGGAGGGGGTCTTTCTTACCTTTCATGTGTGGGGAGAATTCAGGGATCAGGTAGGTTATAATCAGCCATAAAACCAATATCACTGTTAAGTCCTTGGTTAAGAACCAGGGGCTCATATAACCTACCTGGTCTCTCTGAAAACTGGCCCTTAACTGAACTCTGTATGAGAGTTCAGTCTCTCTAAATAACAGAGTGTACATTTTCTGGCAGGTGTCTTAAAAAAAAGCCCATTCCACATACAATTAGTTTTGTTTCTCATAACATTAGAAATAAATGTTTAATATTTCAATTTTTGGTCATTTAAAGTCAATGGAAAATGAGAGTGTTTAGCATCTCCAACAAGTAGGCCATATTTAGGTCTATATATTGAATCAGTGGGCATTTATACATGTGCCCTGGGAGTGGCAGGAGGTGGGGAGGCAGCTTTAATTGGCACTTTTTAATTAAAGTGCCGAGAGCATCATGTGTATTAGCGTCCCCATGCTGAAAAATGGTGGCGGGGGCACTTTAATTAAAGCTCATCGAATGAGCGTTAAAGTGCCCCTGCCTCCATTTTTCAGTGTGGAAATGCTAATATACGTGATGGTGGAGTCTGTTAGAGTGTGGCAATTACCACATTCCAGTAGACACGATAAATCGAGTTTGCTACATCGTGCTGTAATTACAGTGCATCGTAGCAGCCTCGCTGCATGTGTATAGGTACCTAATGTGCCTAAATTTGGGCATCATGCTTGGTGCAAGATAGTATTCAAGTTGAATGCATTGAAGCATGGTGCCTAAATTTAGGATGAAAAGGCTCAGGAGTATCCACTGGACTTAATATTCATTTCTCAAATTTTACCAAAGAAATAACAACACTTCAGAGCAATGAGATAGTTTCTGTATCCTCATTAGGATCAAAGAAGTTGTAATCCAGACCCTGATCCTGCAAACTTTTAATGCATATTTATAACTTTAAATATCATCCAACTGAAGTTAAGCGCATAAGTGATAGTAGGACTGGGACGTCTGTATTCAGGACACACATACTGGTGTATCTATTTGACATTTAGAACAAAATGCTGCAGTCTGGGAGACTAGGTTTGTAATCCAAAAGAGAAGATATTTATCAAAAGGACAGAGAGAGAGAAATATGTGTTGCTTTAAATGGAGGAGAATTTGCAAATTAAGAACTTCATAAAGATATGTTTTCCAGAAAGGTTTATTCACTTTGTCATTCAGGTATTTTCTCTGATAAGAAATTTTTATTAAACTGACCCTTCTGATAGTAATCTCAGCCTTGGGACTGTAGATTAGCACTACAGCATCTGAAAATCCCTTTCTATATCAACGTATTTGGAAGTTGTTTTTTTGCCCGTGCTTGCAGCCATGACTCAAGATACTGTCTGATGGTATAATGTATTGTTTGCTTGCGCTCTTTGTGTGGCTACATAACAGATTCTTTATTATTAAGGTATATTATATAATGGCATGCAGATTGCAGCTACGTAAACTGTCTTGCTCAGGGCCCGACTAATAACGAGAGCCTGTTTTTCAAAGGTTTTGACTAATTGAACAACTTTTTAGTCATTAAAATCCTCACCTACACATATGCTTTGCTTAAAATTTAATGGAGGTGTAAATTTAAGATGGGTCCCAGGTGGTTTATCTCATTTTCACATTATCATTGTTTTATTATCATCCAGAGTTATAGGAATTTGTATAGACAGCTAGAACTATAGGTGGAAGCTTGGCTGCTCTGAAGTCAATGCATGTTTTACCGTTGACTTCAGGGGAGCCAGAAGTCTACACCCCAAAGAGTTTCATTTAGGTTGGACAAAATTGCAGGAGGAGATGAGGAGATAAGGGTTATACAGTAGAAGATCACAAGGCGGTTGAGTTTTGTGCTGCACCAAGTGTTAACTCTCTCTATAAGGCTTCAACTCTAATTATGTTGGAGCAAGGTCGGTGTTGGAGAGAGTGAGTCAAAGGATGTCATGAAAATAACTTGCAACTCACGCTATGGCAAAGGCATTAAAAAGTAGCTCTAATGTCCAATCGAGCAAACACTTACCTAGTGGCTTAATATTAAATATATGAAAGGTCTTAATGAGCAGGATTGAGGCCAGGATAAGATGCAGATAGGACTGAGAAACCTTTGAACTAGGTGTATATCTCAGACAGTGAAACAAAAGTGGGAAGAAAAGACATATTTTTAAATAGTAAAATAAGGCTGTTTTCTGCTTCCTGTAAAACCATATGAGATGAAAAGGTTTTAGAGAGATCCCCTTTAGACCAGCTAAAGGGAATGAGTATGCAGAGTGATAACCTTGCCTTACCTGGTAAACGGGTGGCTAAAGTAGCCTTGACCATCTTGATACAAAATTTGCAGTTCATTCATTTCCTTTTATTTTTCATTCCCTACCTGACTGATTACACGCGATGCCTCATAATTGGGTTTGAAATTGAAATCATTTCCAAATGCTGTTAGACACCAGAACAAAGGACTCTTTATGATGGAAAAGAGCAGCGGGCTGTCTAGTCCAAGAAGTGGCCCAAGCGCACCCCAGGGAGAGAAACTGGTAACACCTTCTATCGCTTCCAGAAGTGAGAGAATAAAGATAATTGCATGGGCTGTTTTTTGCTCAAGAAGGCCTCAAGAAGGCAACAGCCACAGCAGATGAGGAGAGATGAGGCCCAGGACATGGCAAAACAAATGGACTTTCTGTTTCTCGAGAACAGGTTCTGAAATCCCTGATGGGTGCCCAATAGGCTAATTCAACATTGTTAGTCAGATTAGTTTGTAGGCTGGTTATGAGTATTTATAATTCTGTTCTATAAAGGTTGCTTATTCTTTGGTGTTTTGAAGTTTGATTGGGAATGGAAGATGCATGACCTTTCAAGAGCCTCGTGTGATGTAACGCAGAGGCTTGTTGTGTAACTCGAAGGCATTTGGAGCTGAGACACTGAAGGAAGCAGACCTCTGTTGAGCATCTTCTCTCACCATCGTGGCCCATCCCAGCTGCTTCAGAGGAGTGTTCAAGGAAACCTGCCAATGGAAAATTAAAGGTTTTTTTTTATTATGTTATTAAAAAACCCCGCCCATAGGGAAATTGCTACCTAGCCTCCCCAGCTGAGAACAAGATTCCACCACCTTCACATCGAGGGCTATGCCAGTCTGCGAGGACTCCCTTTGACTTTGGTAGGGATTATATTCAGAATTGAGGATTCTTCAAAGTAGAGACGCCAGATTCTGGTCCTTAGCAGCTCCTGACACGTATGTGCTTTTTAGCCTTTCTTTTTTTTTTTTTAAATGTCTATGGAATGCAATTGTGGATGTTTCTGACATACATATAAATACCCGATCTTTTACAAGTTCTACTTTCTTTTCTAAGTGACTTTGAAGGTTTTGTCATGGACTCACTGATTACCATCTAGATGTTTATGCAAGGGAACACCATTTGCTTCATCTTTTCCATTCATTATTTTGCACGTTGCTGTCCTGACATTGAGATCAGGCTTGGCCCTGATGGCCGTAGTACTTTATTCAGTGCCTTGCTGCATGGAGTATTAGCCCTTGCCCTTTGGCACTCACTCGGTTAAGATCCATTAGCTGTTCTAACCTATGATTCATGTCACAAAGTCACTTAAAAGCTTTCAAGAGAGCAAGGCTGAGTTGCCCCAGTGCCATCTGCAGGAGCTGCCCTGTAGCATTCTGGAAATGGGAGTCATGAGTTTGCTGTCCCAGAATGACGTCATTAGTGCATTTGCAGGTGTTGGAGCTTGTGGGGGGTAATGGGTACTTCAGATATTTCTGTACAACTCTGTATTATGCCATGATGACATACCACTAGTGTTCTCTCTTCTCCATTTCCCTGATTATCCTAGCCCTCCTCTGCACCTTGAATTACTTTGAATTCATCTTTTCTTTAACATGGGTGACAGGATTGGATGTAGTTTTATGGGAGTGCTAATTCTTGGGATTAGTTTAGGTACAGTTGATCCTACCTCAGGATAGGATGATGGACTAGATCAGTGATTCTCGATTAGGGAGACCTGACACCCTGGGGTGCCTTGAGATCCTTTCAAGGGTGCCACGTGATATTATCACTGTTAGGTGTGCTAACATGATTCACAAGATATACCCAGATATTTCAAATAGGAGTCAATAGTGTTAAAACATTCTGACCTGCTGTGGGTTTTCTGAGTTCTTTGCAACAGAAGAATCCCTCTGTGCAGGAAATGCATGAGACGTGAGGGGGGTTTGTGATATCTTTTATTGGACCAACTATGTAGTTGGGAAAGAAGTTGGGAAAGGGGTCTGTACCTCCCTTCAAAAAATGTTAGGGGTCCACAGGTTGCAAACCACTGCTTTAAAGGAAGGACGGCTTGTTCCCAAAAGTTTATCTAGCCTCTCTCTCTCAACTATACAGTTGATCCAATAAAAAATACCACGAACAGACCTTGCTCTCTCATACAAAGAACCCTATGCATTATCTCCTCTGTGTAGAGGCTTAGAAAATACATCGAAGTCTTGAGGCTTCTCTCCAACCAGAAGACTGAGACTATTTTTTGTAGAGAATTGGAGCTAGGTCCATTTGTCATCCGACCTGGGGCCAAGTCAGGATACGTCATCCCCTAAATTCTGTTTTCCATTTTTTTTTACTGTCACCCTCATTTCTGTAAGGACCATCCCCATTCTGGAATCAACACTGAATACTGAACAGATGGAGGGTTTTTCGGCCTGGGATGTTTAAACTCAAAGACCAAAGTATTCAAACCAAAGAACCTTGACCTTCAATACAATGAGAAATGTGCCATCCTTGTACACATTGAGGAAAACCTCCAGGCAGTGCTGGATCTCCTTACAAAAGCCTACTAAACTTTGGGCCTCTCTCAACATCAAGAAGACTAAAGTGTTTTATCAGCTTGCTCAGGGCATGAATATGACCACCCCCCTCAACTTCCCATTGAGGAAAGACCGTGGAGGTAGATGAGCACCTCCCTTACCTCTGTAGCTACATTTCTCAGAGGTGATCCACTACAGGATTAATGAGGAGATCCATTTCAGGATCTGGGATTTTCCTCAGGTGTGTTTTTATTGATTGTGATCCCTGGAAAGACACCAAGGTCCAGGTTTACAACACAGTCATCATCCTCACTCTCCTCTACCGATGTGAAACATGGGAGACCTACCATTTGTCACCTCAAGAGCCTGGAGAGGTATCGCCAATGATGGCTCTGGAAAGTCCTCTGCATTAAATGGGAAGATTGTTGTACAAATGCCAGTATTCTGGCTGATACCAGATTACCAGCACTGAGTCAGTTATCCTCAAGCACACTGAACCAGACATTGTGTGTAGATGCATACTGACTTTTAACACCCAAAACAAGTGCTCTATTCCCAGTTTGATTGTAGCCTGAGATCTCGTGATGGCCAGAAGAAATACAACAAGGACACATTGAAGGCATACCTTAAGAAAATGGATGCTGACATAAAGGATACTAACCAACTCCAATAGCACCACAACCTTAACCAAGCAGCAGCCTGCTTCAAGGTAAAGCAACTTGCCCTCAAAGCAGAGAAGACAGAGCAAAGGAAGAAGGAGAGACATCTCAGCCTACAGCCTGCTCTTCCCTGTGGAAAGACCTGCAACTTCTGTAGACAGATCTGTGGCTCAGGGACTGGGCATTTAAGTCACTTCAAGACCAATCAATAAGCTATGGTACAGATCATCGTTGAATGGAGGGATTGCTGTTGCCAGTGGGAGACTTATTAAAGGAATGGAGAAAATTGTTGAGTAAGGAAAAGAAAGGAGCTTGTGAACGTGTATTAGCTTAGCTCTCAGGGACCTATGAAAAATTCAGTGCTAACTCTGTGCTGCCCTGTGTTGTGCCCTCTCATGTTGCTGCAGCCTGAGTGTACCATCCCTTTCTGATGTAAAAACTGCAGTGTGCAAGGGGATTAGGGTTTGCATGTAAGAAAAAAAAGTTTGTGCTAATAATGACATGGCCCAAGTGGATCTGTGTGCAGACATACCAGAAGGCAAAATTGGGCCATTAGTGTATATTGCATATGACATTTCTAAATACAATACTCTAAACAGCATGGCTCCTCCATTCAGCAGCCTACCTCTCCCCTCCCTGGGATTACAAAACATCCCAATATCCTGATGTTCACACAAAATGCTCCTACAGTTTTGGAGGTGGAGGCGGCTCAGGAATGGAATAAAGCCTTAGTCTTAAACTGCAAGAAATATCTGAGTAGGATTTTATAATGTTGTGAGTTTTAGTATCTGAAAGTAATAACTGGCCAGGTATAATTGTGTATGATTAACTGGTACTGAAAGTGCTCAAACTTACAGACCTTTAAAGGTTTGCGAAATGTAGAGCCATAAAACTGTCACCTGTCCAGCCTTAGGTTTCACAGTACTGTCCTTTTAATCTCTATATTTCTCAGGTCCAGGAGACACAAGAGAGAAAAGGGGGGAAAAAAACCCCTTTTGTTTGGGAAACGCAGATTAACGGAGACCATGGGAACAATGCTTGACAGTTTGCATACTAGACCTGAAATGTAACTAGTGGTGTACTTAGATACTTGAAAAAGGGAAGGTCAAAGGGAGAAAATGAATGTAGCTTTTCTGGTGGCTTAGTTTGTAGATGCAGAAACAAACTTCATCATTATTCATATTTTGTAATATATTTGCTTATATTTACAGACAAAAACTTCATTTAAGTGGAGTTAAACTGTAGCTAGTTATGAATAATTTAATCCAGAGATCCTTGAAGTATAGTTGCAGTAGTTTATTTACAAAAAAAGATTAAATAAAAACATTGATGGGAATTCTTATTTCTGTACACCTTTTACAAAATCGTGCACTGGTCAAGTCATTTAATGCAGGTATATGTTAATGTGTACATAGGTATCATAGGTAATTAAATTTGAATCTCCCTATTTCTTGGCTTTTGGACATTTCTCATGTCCTTTATAACATAGTGGATGAGATATAGGATTGGAAAATGCTAGGATTATAGTGCCCTAATTCTGCATTTATGTGGATTTTAAAAGCTGCAATGGTCTGTGGAAGAATTATTATACTTACGCAGAGATTTTTCCTAATTCTCCCTAAATATTTCCAATAATCTTTTCATTCTCTTCTTGAGAAGATTCCCCAGCAAACCAAACAAAAAGATCCTAACTTGCAGTTTATAAATCTAACAGATTTCTTATGTAATTACAAAGAAAAATGGGGGAAAAACCCTTAAAATCCCACATTAAAGCAACACTAAGAAAACTGTCCTGCTTTTTAAGACCTTCACGTCTGACAAATGACTTGTCTAATGTCAATCTGTAATTAGGAGCTGTGCTCTGCCACAGCACTGTTGTAATCAGTGGTAGATGAGTCATGGCAAATTTTGATAAAATCATAGATTTTGACTCACTTGTGCATTTTTTTGCAAAATGATCTGTACTGCCTCCAGCTTTTAAGCTTCTTAATCATATAGTATCCATAATAGTATCCCTGGAGGAAAAGAGACAGCTTTGCATTTTCTGCCAAGGTGCCAGGCAGCTGAAAGAGAAGTAAACAGTTACGGTGCCTTCTGCAGGGGGGCTTGGCAGCGAGTTGGAGTCCAACACAAGGTATTTACTGGAATTTGGGATATCTGTGAACTAATAAAAAAAACCAGATTTACCCATAATATGCCCAAAGTCTCATAAATACACCAATCTTTAACTGATTTACAATTGGACATCAAAGGGAACTATGAATATGATTCTTTGCCGTCCCTAGATATTTAGTGGCCTGTATGGTAGTTTCAGTTAACTATTTTTTTCTACATATTCATACCAAAAAAAAAAAAAAAAAAAAAAGATCACAACTACTAGTAGCAGTGACTGAGATCTTTGCAAGTGGTCTCAACAAAGAAAGACAAGAAGTACATGGAGTGTTTATAAGCTGTGTCTTTGTTCTTAGCAGGGCGTCTCCAGAAAGGGTAAAAGCAAAGAGGATTGGGAAGCTTGTATTTTTACACAACCTACCAAGCATTACCAATCCTGATGTATGCATGCAAAATCTGGACGGTGTACAAACGCCATGCTATGAAGCTGGGCTGCTTTCACGTGGGCTGTCTCAGGAAACTGATGAGACTAAGATGGCAAGACAAGACACTGAGGTTCTTACTCGGGCAGGTATTCCAAGCAGCCATACTCTGTTGATGAAATCACAGTTGAGAGGGGTAGGCTATGTCACCAGGATGTCAGGTGAGCGACTGCCAAAGATCCTTTATGGTGAGCCAAAGGAGGAAGAAATGCTTCAAGGACCCCCTCAAGTCATCCCTGAAACATTTCAACATTGACCTGAAGCCCTGAGAAGATCTCGCTCATAATCATTCCACCTGGCAAATCCTCATCCCTACTGCAGCTACCAGTCTATAAGCAGAGAAGGACTGCTAAGGCAGAACAAAAGTGCAAACAGCAGCATGTCCGCTGTTGATCAAGCAACCCAAAGCAGCATCTCTTGCTCAGTGTGCCATAGAGTGACAGTTCAAAGCACAAATTGGCCTGATCAGCCACTCATGTGTTCAAAAGTGATGTCAAAGTCATCTTCCAACTCAAAGGACGAACAACTTGGCTCAAGAAGACTTGTCTGAAATGGTGTCAGTGACTAGCACTGAATTAAGAATGCTAAGAAATTCCTATGGAAAGCTAAGACTTTGTAAATATTTTTGCTCCAACAACTTAATGGGTGACCAATGCTGTGATTGCAAGTTTAAGAGTTAATCATTCTGTACTATCTGCAATGCTGGTTTTAATCCAGTAATGCTTTCTGTTAGAACAAAAGTCTTCCTTGTGCTTAAGCAAAGTGAGTAACAAGTAAGGGAAAAGGTAGGGATAGCTCTGATGACTAAAATGACCTTTATCTTTTAAGATTACATTAACAAAGATGATATTTGGGAGGGGAAAAAAATCCTTCGGCTATGCGATGTGCTATGTTATCTAGGAGAAATTTGCTGTAGTCTTAATTAATTTGGTATTTGTTTTCAGGATAAGGAAGATGAAATAGATTAAAAGGAGTCAGCTGTCTTAAAAGGAGGTATAATGGATAGCTGAACCATTACTGCCTACAATCTTATCAGTCAAGTTCATGGCCCTTTGCCATGGTCAAATATTCCAAATATTATATAGAAAAAGAAATAATGCTGATATTGAAACTTTCCACTGCCAAATTACATATCCGTTATTGTTTAGTCATGTGAGGTCAAGCCCGGTCACTAAAAACAAAGGATCTTTGTATATAACTTTACTCTCTCATCACAGGGCTTTTAGTTTCCAAACTTCTGTAACACTCCCTGGTTTGAAAGTTTCTTTTTCAGCAGGATACTGTGTGCTCTTTTATAAACATGTCTCCATTAGTAAAGGAGACATGATGGGAATCACTAAAAACTACTCAGGGGCACATAATAGGGATAGATTTTATTTTAAAAAACAGTGTTTCCCTCTCAAACAGACATACTGTCTGTCTTGCTTTATGTTGGACGTTTTCAGGATTAATTGAATCGCACATATGTAGGGTGAAGGACTAATCGAGAATTTTAGAAATGATTACAAAATAAAATAGCCATTTTACCAGCTTTGTTTTCCTGAGAAAATCACAAAGCGTTTTGCAAAATTCTCACGCAAGGCAAGGAGAATGCCAATTTGCTACTTTATGCAAATGATCTCACTGAAAATACATCTTTTTAAGAAGGGGTGAGGGGGAGGGCAAAATGTACCCTCGCCTCTGTTTTGAATTAAATCAATGGCAAAACACCCTTTGACTTCAGTGGAAGGAGGATAGAGGCCCTGCTTTCTGGTGCCAACGGTCAATAGTGTTTGCATTTTTGGAACAGATACAGCCCTGAAAGTCCTGCCTTTCACAGGGCACTCCGAAACTATTCCTATTTGCTCGATTCCATAGCAACAACACATAACTGACATGGGTGGAATACTGAACTGAGGTTTTACTACTCAAACTGAGGATTTAGGCAAGTGTATCCTGTTCAAAGTACTTTATTTTCCAAAGAGCTTTATTTTCTAAAGTACTAGCTCCCTTTCAGAGGAGTGATGGAATTATCTTGGGTTCCTTTTACAGTGAAACTATACTGCAGTACTGTTTCAAAACAAGGAGAAATCATTTAAAAACCACACCAGCAATTAACTCAAAGGCTCTTTTTGGAATGATAATATTACATAGAATAAAGTACACTTGAACTTTTTTTTTTCCCTTAGGATGTAAAGCATCCTATTTCTTCCTCTTTCAGATGGGGAGAGAGTAGAGTAACCATTTTCTGCCCCCAAATATATATTTACTAAATGTGGAGTAATCACTAAATGTGTCATAAAATAATAGTTAAGCCAGTAAGACTGTCATATCATTTCCTATTACTTATATTAGTATACGTGTCTCAATTCTGTAATCAACAGAACATATAAAAATGTTTGTGTAAAATCAATAAAAAACGTGTAAAATCAGTATTTTACCTGATTTATAAAATCAGTATAAATAAGATAAAAATTTGCTTCCAAGGACTGGCAGTTCCTCCTAAATACAGGAATGAAATGGCATCCACCATTTCTATTATGTTCCATGGGTAAGATTATGATTTTGTTACATCAGTGACATTTGGGCATTTGGTAGGGTTTCTCTGTAGTCATACAAACAAAACCAAGAACACTAAGTGGTCTCATAATATGACAGTAAATGCTGTTTGAAATGGGGGGGGTGGGGATCAAAACTATAAGAGGGGAAATAAGGAAGGAAATCTATAGCTGGTGAGTCTGTTTATTTGATAATGTTAAGGGTACCAGATAATTTATCCTACAAGACCATCTACTGGAAACTTCCATTATAAAAATTAAATGCCATAAAATTTAGAAATGATTAGGTAATATGGATGAAGTTTTTAATTCTATTGCATTTCACATGTTATTAAACTGTAGATATAAAAATTCACATGACATTCAGAAATACTTTTAACTCTTCTTCATATGTTAGTTTTCACATGATCCAGTTATAGAATCATTTTTCACTAAGATGTGACTTAGATGTGAAGTCAGACACCTTTATGGGCTCCCCAACTTGCCCTGGTAAAGCAACTTGCTGCAGCAGTTGCTATTCAACACGTGTATAATGACACAATAGAGCCCTTATGTTGTATGCTTTTTGGGCAGGGACCTCTGTTGCTTGTGAAATATTACATAATCCAGAGGTGCTGTGGAAATAACTGATACTATGTGGGATGTCAGTTTTATGGGTTTGGTTAAGTGTTTGTTCTGCCCTCAGATCCCATGAACCAGGTGACTTGCATCTTTATAACTGAATGCAGAATTTGGTCCAATACATTGGCTTGTTCTAATTCAAGGTCATTTTGCTAGATATCTTTGGTTTTTTGCTCTTGCAATCTTCGTATGTATTGGTTCAGCCTTGATATGCTTTTGATTAATATAATGCCCCCTTTGAAACTCCTGTGTTTTGATTCCTTTCTGGCAGCTGCAAATACTACTTGAATACAACTATTGCAATCTTAGATTTCCAGAATTAATAAAAAAAGATGATTGATTTTTGCCATTGTTTTAAGATAGCTCAGTTCGGCTCTCTTGCATTTCTTCTGCAGCATCTTCCATTAGGAAAAGCAATCCTTTACATGTCTGTATCATTAAAAGAAAGAGGACTTAGGTATGAACAACAGCTTATGTTAAGACATGCAGCTTGTGATAAAGAACCAGATTCTGAGAAATCAGTGTTGGTGAAATGTGCCTGTTAAGGGGCTAAAAGAGAAGGGTGAGGCAGGAAAATGGTATGGCTACATTAAATTTCTCTTCTCTTACACTTTTTACATATGCTGCTTTTCCAGCTATACCCATGTCTTCTGGCCTCTTGACATGTAAATTGCCGCTTAGATTCCTATGGAGTTAGTTAAACTCTTTGGTTAAATTCAGTGATGATGTGTAAGAAAATACAAATTGCCCAGTGGTAAGTGCATGACCATAGCTTAATTTAGGAGCCTACACCAGCTGACTCTGAATCAGGAGAGAGGTGGAGAATTGAAGTTAGTGTAATTTACCTTGTAAATGATCAGGGAGAAAGTCTAAAAGACAACAGCCTAGAGTCTACTTTAAATTCACTTAGACTTGACTCTGAATTTGGTTGACACTCAAAAGGGCAAATAATTCCCTTCCTTATTGTATGTCCTGCTCAGTTGCACTGAACTCAATGAGACTGGAGTGGCGTAAGTGAAAATGAGATGAGAATGCGAGAAGTGTAACTGAGAGGGCACTACTGGCAAACGAGGTATCAGTGAAAGTCACACATTTTCACACATTTTCTCATAATGTAATTAAGCTGACAGTTAGATACCAATCACTGTTATATTAAGTGTAAATTCAAAGTAACTCTTCTGGCTTCAGTAGCTAAAAGAGAAAGAAGAGTCCCTTCTTGCTGAAATCCTTTAGTCTGTTCCCAAGAAATACGTGTTATAAAGCCAAGATCAGTAAACTGATGGGGCTACATTTTTTTAAATGACAAGTGATTTTTGGGTACCTGATTTTTGCGGTCTCTCTCAGGGACCAGGATTTGAGGGAGCAGTTGGCAGCTTTTGAAAATTAAGCTCTAATTCATTGTTAAAATTAACTACAGGAACCACATATGTTCTAATTTGGGATAAAGAACTTTCTCTGTGAAATATTATTTTGATCGTCGACTAACATGTGCCTTACCTTTGCTGAAAATACCAATGCTTCACCAAATCGCTCGCTCGCATTCCATTTTTGCAACCTAAAAAACAAATTGTCTTTCACGGCCTTTTGTGCAGTGATAGAAACTTGCTTCCAAAAGCAGCATCTTTATCAATGAGCAAAGGAGACTGTCCACTAGGTATTGACAACACCACAGCATTATTCTGCAGGTTTCCAGCTGTGGGAAAGCAAAGCTATTCAGATACGCAGGGACTGGTATTATCTATGGACATTTTAGCTAGCGTGAATGTAGTTGAAATGTTGGGTTGTTTTTGGAAGCTCTCACAAACAAGCTGATTCTTTTGTATCCTATGAAGGCCTCAAAGCCCTACAGCAGTGCTGCTACTAATAAGAGTACACTTTCTTATTTATTATTTGGTTGCCATTACCATCCTATTACCTTTTGAAAACCATTCTATAATCACATCTGATTATTGCTAAGGAAGGTGGAGATAGAAAAACAATCTTTAGAAACCGTACTGAAAATAATCATGCTGAAATGTGATAGCTTGCGCTGTATTGCCCTGTCAGTTATGAAGGAGTAATCGTTATGGAGGTTAATTATGGAGGATTAATCGTTTTGGACACATCGTCGAGTATGAAGAAATAGAGGTGCTTTGTGTAGCCATCAGTATTGCTATTGCTGTATTCACAGTGTACAGAACTGGGTGAGCTGAAAAAGGTAATTCAGGTAATTCTCACCATGCAGGGGAGGGTGGCGTTGTGAACAAATGATGATTTTCTCCATTTTCTAGGATCTTAGAGTATTGACGCTTGGCCTTAATATAATTAAGGAAAGGTCCTAAGCGGCAGCACACTCAGCTTCTTGAGGCATCCGGTCAGCTTTCGTTCAGTGGCTAAATCCTGGTACCTTCTGAGGGTGGGCTACAATTATTATTACGCCTAACTTTATTGTGTTAGGTGTTTATACAAAGTGCAAATGAAGTCATAGAAAGGGTCGGGGAGGGAGAGCTTTGGTGCTAAGCAGGAGGTTAGTTTTGGGTGTTGGGATGAGAGGAGAGCAGGATGGCTCTGACGGAGGTGGGGTGGTGGAGGCTGATGTTAATCGGAGGAGGAAACGGGGTGTCTGGTGCAGGACTGCGGGTGAGAAGACGGAGGGTGAGTGCCAGGCAGCCTGGGTGACTGGGAAGGAGGAGGTTGGATCCGGATCCAGCCTAGACATTTTGGGGATGGAGGCGGTGTGCAGTATAGATGGGCTGTGAAGGGAATTTGGATGTGCTGCGGCATGTGGATTAACGTTGGAATAGGAGGACGGAGGTGCCGTGCGATTGCGTGCGTATGAAAGCGAGGTTACGGGGAAGGCGGCTGGAGAAACCCCAGGGCGTGCGGCTGGGGGATCGGC